TTTCCATCCCAGAGCTCCACAAGCCGGCAGCACGTGCAGCAGAGAGAAGCCACGATCAGACAGAGATGTGCCGAGCTGCGGGGAGGGGAGAACGGGTGGAAAACATCGGTTTCCATCCAGAGCTCCACAATCCGGCAGCCCGCGCAGCAAACAGAAGCCGCGATCAAACAAAGATGCGCCGGGCTGCGGGGAGGGGAGAAATGGGTGGAAAACATCGGTCTCCCGAGAGCTCCACAAGCCGATAGTCGGAACCCAGCTCCACCAACATGTTATATTTCAACCCATTTTCTAAAGTGCAGCATTATGTTAAATGCACTGGATTTTATCCTATTACATTTAAATTTCATGGTTAAACAGTACATGTTAAAATCTAAGCTCAGCTCGGCAGCGACCTAAAATACATAAATATAATTTTTTCTTACCGAAAAAAATGAAGTGGAGACTCCTTGGATGCTCTATTAGTGCAATTAATGCCACAGCAAGTCATTTTGTCCAACAACTGCACAAAAAATATCCAAAAAAAGAAAACACAAACACAGAGACTCAAAATCCCGGAGCAGTTTCCAAGCCAGACCGAGGCTCTACTGAGGCCTTTCCACGGAGCTAGCTCTGTGGTCACGTGGGTCGGATGCTCATTAATTATACAGAACTTTAGGCTTTTAATACACTTAAACAGAAGAGTGAGAAAAAAATTCACCCCCTCAGAGTTGTCATGAGTGTAAACTAGATCATTTAAACCAAAAACATGTTTTGGTATCAGGCTGTAAACATGTCTATTTCTGCTGTGAAATTGGCATTTTTAACATGGGAGTCAATGAGGATTTGCTTGCTTCTGATACCAGCCCCCAGTGGATGAGGGTGGAACTGCAATTTTTGGTACTTCCAGGTTGGACTCAATTTTTGAGCTGCACTGTGGGGGCTTGGTTGGGACCAGATCAGGAGTTCTGGTTCTAGGAAAAGATGAATGAACAACTTGAGGTGAGTTTGGGAGTCAAGAGACACTAATCGGAGGCTGGCGTCTAGGGCTGAAACGATTCCTCGAGCACCTCGAATAATTCGAGTACAAAAAAGCCTCAAGTCAAATTCTCTGCCTCGAGGCTTCGTTTAATTCATACTTAATTAATTCATGGCTTTGCAATCGCCCGGGGTCATGTTTCACCCGGACCGAAATAAGTGACGCACATGCACACGCGAGTAGCGAATATAACTTAACTTTCTCTTAAGCCATGGCGGACAACGTGGCCCCCAGTGGAGTGCGAAAAAGACAGAAAATGTCAAAGGTGTGGGACCATTTTTCACATCGTAAGGCAGAAAACGTAGTCCAGTGTAAATACTGTAAAATGTATTAAGCCTACCACTACACCACATCCTCCATGCTGCAGCGCCTGACCAGATAGACTTTTCCCATCTTCCATTGATTTTCTGAGAATATGAAGTCATCAGGCCTCTGACCCGTATCCCCCACCAGACTAATAATAGAGTCCATCAAGAGTGACTTTCAGCCTGTTTTTATATTTAACTCGTTGCTCTTTAGCCTCTGATTAGAGCACTTCCGTGTTTAACCGATCTCTGGGATCACAGCTGCTTTGATAAAGTGTGTCAGAGATGACTTTTCCTGGTGAATTCCTCCCTTGTAGACATCACATGTTGGTCTCTCACCTGTGGCGATGCCAGACTTGTGCCTTTACATTAAACAGCTCTGATCTGTACTTTGGCCAGAGTTTTCCTGAAAAGCCAGAGTTGTTTGGAGAGGGATGGAGCAGTAAAGCTGCAGGACACAGAGTGGTCATTTCAGGGTTTTTAGTCCTGGGGGACTCACAGGAAAAACTTTCAACAGGCATAAAAAAACATTGCAGCTGATGCAAAGTCCTCAGGCTGCTCCAGTCTACTCATTTATTACCATCAGCCTCCTTCATCATCATGGTGAATATGAAATATTCCTCAGATGAATCATTGCTGACAGGATCTACGCATATTGAACAGTCAATATGTGCAATATCCTCTAATTTGATTATTTCTCATAACAATGAGCTGATCTCTTTCCCTTCATCAGATAGAAGAAACTACTTCATAAAGGGATAAATGTGATCATAAAGACTGAGATGAATAACTTTTGCCATCTATCTGGCTCTTCAGCACGCTAGCTCTCATCATTTCTCATTTACGCCTTTTTGTTTTTATGGAGTTTCATTTCGCTGTGGAGAACTTTACTGCCTTTCTAACAGATCGTTTCATCTGCAGACTGCATTTAGCTAAAGTCTGAAATGTTGTTTATGAAGGTGTGAAATATTCTTTCTTTTATTTGGAAACTTTCATGAGAGAAATGTCACATCTAAACTGATTATCATTATTATTATTATTATCGTAATTAACCTCTTTTAAATGTAATGCTCAACTTTCCTAAAGTGTTTTTATATAACGTTCATGAGTACTCTTCAAATGTCAAAAATCCACTTAAGAGCAATAAAATCTTAAATTTGACTGCGTATTGATTATTGTGTATTGTGAAAATTGCCCTTACATTATTGTTATATTTAATTAAACATGTTGAAAGCATCACATGGAAACATCTTTTTTATGAGGTTTTTACCTGCAGATTATGAAGAATCCCAATAAAGGTAGTCCCATTCCCGTTGAAGCATGGCCAGAACAAAAAACTACTAAACTCAGGTCATAAAAAATGCAAAAAGGGAAAATAAATCTTTGCCTGCTTTGGTAAAGGGTTACATTTTTACACAGCTTTGTAAAGTTCGTCACTAAAATGTTTCACTTGAGAGCAAAGAATCTTTTTCATTTTGTTAGATAAAAGGTTTAAATTCATTATTGTATTAAAACTGGGTGTACCTTTTTTATCTTTTATTTCATTCAAAATGTATATAATAAACACAAACATATATAACATACATTAGCATATTGAAAAAAAGAAAAAACATTTGAATGAAAAGGAGCAGATAGAAGAAAAACTCTTATAATTTCTGCCCCTTTTTACGAAATAAAATTATCCGTCAAACAAACACAGTATAACCTCAGTCACTTTCTAATATTTTCACATCTAATCTTTGACATTATAATTCACCTTTTCATAATTACTAAATACATTAGATTTTATACATTTTTTAAATATAGCAAGTGTAGTTGATTCTTTAAATTCCTTGTTAATGGCATTCTACATTCTTACACCCTTTACAGCAGGGGTGTCAAACATGCGGCCTGCGGGCCGGATCCGGCCCACAAGATAGTTGTGTAAACTTTATTTTCATACTTTACAATGTAGAGTGAAAATAAACTTATCTTTGTGAGCAAGTTTTCTCTGTAATGAGTATAAATAAAACAAAGCTGCGCTCAAGGCTCACACAAGAACTTGAATCACATCCTGAAGTTAGCCGCCACTCAGGATGTGACTTCTGATATTGATGTGCTGGTGAAAGCTAAAAGATGTAAAGTAAAATGAGTCAAATATATTTTAAGTGCTACATGAAACTGATCTAGCCATGTGATCTGTAAGCTCTTTGAATCACTAAGGAATGTTTTTTTAATTTATTGATTTTTTATTTTTTTCGAATTTTCAAGTACACTTCAGGTGTTGTACTTGTACTATTTTGGATACACTGTCCTCAGGCTCCAGCCTTGTTTTATATTGATTGTATTAAAACAAAGAAAACAATCTGAAGTTGTTTTTAATTTACCGTCCGGCCCACTTGGGACTAGATTTCTCGCAATGTGGCCCCTGAGCTAAAATGAGTTTGACACCCCTGCTTTACAGAAATGTTACATTCCCTCACTTTGGTTCTGAATCTAGGTTTCTCAAAGACATCAGTTCCTTTTAACATGTACCCACTTACTCTCTTATGAAACATTTTCTGAATATTAGTTGGTAGATTACTCGTATTCGCTCTGTACATTATTTGCAATATTTTCCACTCTACCAAGTCAGGAAATTTCAGTATTTTGTATCTAATGAATAATTGATTAGTGTGATCTCTATAGTTACTGTTATTAATGATTCTCAGTGCTCTTTTTTGCAAAATGAACAACGGTTGTGTAAAAGTTTTGCAAGTGGCTCCCCAAATTTCTAAACAATAAAATAAATATGGTTTAATCAGTGAGTGATACAATGTTAACAACCCCGACAAATTTAGTAGAAACTTGACTCTATATAATACACCTGACTCACTAGTGATGGTGATTCTTCTAACTATTGTGGGGTTCTTTATTTTATTTTATTTTTTTGCCTTTAATTTTTCCCTTTTTCACAGGAAGTTCTGCTGCTTAACTTTCAACTCCAAGATGGTGTGTTCTGTTTTTTAGCAATGCTTTGCCTAAACCAGCAACATTGGGCCTTCTTGTTCTTCACAAAAACCCAAATACTTTTCAGTAAACTCGCATCTTCTCTCTTCTGCTGATGTGGATTCACAGGGAGGAGTTAACAGAAAGTGAAGATAACGCTCACTCGCTTCCTCTATTTCTGAGTCTCCGATTGTTTGGGTCGACATTTATTTTTGTGACGTTCCAGTTAATCATGTTGTTCACCAAAATAAATAATAAAGATTGTGTTAGATATGGTCGAGCTGGAAACCTGCAGCATGCTCCGTCGCCTCAGCTCATTGTATTGTGTAACATGTCTCCTTTCATTTTACACACACACACACACACACACACACACACACACACACACACACACACACACACACACACACACACACACACACACACACACACACACACACAAGAGACGGAGAGAGAGACTGCAGGAGATGATAAAGTAAAAAATGTGGAAATCACATATATTGTAAAATTAAATCCCTGAACCCCATTATTGATGTTATCATGTCCACATTTGGCCAAATTTTCCAGCGCTCCACTTTTTTCAGTAATTTGATTTATTATTTGTCCCAACCATTGGTTCTGTCTGCATTTTCTGCTTTATGAAACATCTCTGACCATGAAACTTAATTTGTATCAACAACCTATCCCGTTCCTCTTTGTATCCCCATGTCTAGTCGGACTCATCAGGAGCCGCTGTCCTTCACCAGGCTAGGAGGGATCAAGTTGTAGACGCCTGCAGAGTCTACAGCGCCTCCAGTCGAAAGCGGAGAGTGCTGACCCCTGCAGACCTGAAACACCTCGTTGTGGACGAAGACCATGAACTTATCTACTGCTATGTCCCTAAGGTGGCTTGCACCAACTGGAAACGAGTCATGATGGTTCTCACAGGCCAGGGGAAATACAGGTGAGTCAGCTCATGGATCAGGAGGTCTGTGACCAGTCAAACTTGTGTCTGTGGGCTCCATGGAAAACAACCTCCTTTTATGTGTTAATTAGAGCTGAAACACGTCATTGAGTTTCTCAAATGACATTTATAAAAGCCCTGGTCTTGCTTTGTTGAGTGAATGGGACTTTGCACTTAGATTCATTGTTTGTTCATCGGGTGTTTTTTATTTTTCTATACCTTATATCACAGTGACCCCATGGAAATCCCGTCCAACAAGGCCCATGTTCCCTCCAACCTGAAAACGCTGAATCAGTACACCATCGCTGAGATTAACCACCGCCTCAAGAACTATCTTAAGTTCCTCTTTGTTCGTGAGCCGTTTGAGAGGCTGGTCTCTGCGTACCGCAATAAGTTCACCTTGAAGTACAACTCTTCCTTCCATAAGCGCTTCGGCACCCGGATCATCAGGCGTTACCGCAAGAATGCCACTCAGGAAGCCCTGCTCAGCGGCTCTGATGTCAAATTTAAGGAGTTTGTAGAGTACCTGGTGGATCCAGCCACACAGCGTGACGGCCCACTCAACGAGCACTGGCAGACAGTTTACCAGCTGTGTCACCCCTGTCACATCCACTACGACCTGGTGGGAAAGTACGAGACTCTAGAGGAAGATGCTAACTACGTGTTGGGACTGATAGATGTCGGGGACTCCCTGCGCTTCCCGAGCTATGCCAAGTCCACTCGCACCACAGACGCCATGACAGCTCAGTTCTTCAGCAATATCAGCTCTCAGCAGCAGGTTCAGCTCTACCAGCTTTACAGGATGGACTTCCTCATGTTTAACTACTCCAAACCCAGCCAGCTGCGGCTGGACTAGCAGAAAAGAGAGCTGGGACTCCGACAATCGCTGCCTCCGTTACAGAGAGGCAACACGAGGAGAAAAGTTCAGAATTTTTTAAGCAAACTCGGTTTTTACAAACTGTCATTGTTCCTTACAGGTGTGGAAGATGAAAGTGATATAAAGTAGCCCTGACTGAATAAAGTAACGTGTGCTTATACAGGTACAAGTCGAGAGATGTGACATCAGCAGACACAGAAAGCACCGATTAGATGGACATGTGGGCTTAAAGGACCAAACGCAGAAACTGAAAATCGTGGGTGAAGCAGGTCTTCAAGGGGTTAAAAACTGGAGTTTGTCCTCTGAACACTGATTTAAAGAGGAATTCTTCTGATGATGTTTCCTACCTGTTTAAACAAACTGCTAACAAATTGCTGCTTCAGATTCTGCAAGGCAAACAGCAGCCTCACCCTGACCCCAGTGCATCGTGGGAGTCGAATTTTTCTCCCTCTCCTTGATCAATAAAGACTCCGTAAAATTGTAAAAAAGTTCTTGTCCTTGCTGTAGTGTCAGCATGGTGAGTTAACTCCCATCACCCCCGGCTGCATTAGATTCATGTCATCACCTCCTCCAGGATGCCTTGTGATGGATGGCTCCTGATTTCATGCTCCAGAATACTCCAGCTGTAATTAGACCGGTGTCTCCTTCAGCCAACGGTTGTACCAGCTGTGACGCTGGCCTTCGGACCTTCTGGACTTTTTAAAATCAGACTCCTGCTGCAGAAAAGGCTGAATGAATCATTTGTAATATCCTGAACAGTTTGGGACAAAGGAAGTGGTTTGAAACAAATACTTGTGTGCCGAGACGCTACAGGCAACGGCTGGTTTAAAAGGAATGTGGTTGCAAAGGGATGATCCAACAACTGCACCCATAACAGGGGGCTGAGCGGACACACTACCGGGACCACATCCACCAGGACCCAGAACCAACAGCCTAACATGTTAAGATTGTAATTTTGTCTTGATCTTTTATTTTTGTCTGTTCCTGTTGTCTCATAAGGATTGCTGCGAGCAGCAATAACATAAAATTATTTAATGTTGTTTGAACAGAGAGAGTGTGTGTTAGTGTGTAGTTGTTCTAGGCTCGGGAGCATCCTGGGAGATTTCTAGAGTTTTTTTTTTGTTTGTCTCTGATCCATCACAGGTTTAGTGAATTTTATCTGAATGGTTGAAAACGTTAGCTCCTTGGCTTTGTGCTTTTGTGCTCTAACCGGTTAAAAATCTGGTTTTCATGTATAAACTGAGCCAGAATCTCATCAATGGAAATGAAGTTGAGAAAGTTTTGTCTCAGATAGAAATGTTGGTGATTTAACTGATGAAATCCGGCAGTGAATTAAACCCAACCACACTCCTTGTGAGGAAGCTGCTGGCGCTGCTTGAAGCTCTCACATCTTGGGGTCTCATGAGAAATGAAGACCATAATAGAAAGGTGTTTTATAATACAGATGTGTTGCAGTAGAGGAAAGTGCATTTTTAAAGAACCAACAAGGACCGTACGCTACCTGGAGCATGAAGTCCAGTTTGGCTTCCCATTTCCAAACTTAAAGGCGAACTAGGCAGTTTTTACTTGCTTTTAGCACCCTCTAGTGTCTGTTTGTAGAGCCAAACGCAAAACCTATCTCCTCGCTGTGCGTTAGTATTTTTAGCACAGCTGAGATGTCTCCCCAGCCTTCCTTACTGTCTACAGGAGTGATTCATCACTAAATTAAACAAATCAGCTGTGTTCATGACCTAAAACAAGCAGGAAACGTTCTGGAACCAGACTGCAGCACCAGGTATGTCAGCTCAATGTTTTCTAAGTCCCAACAGAGCAGCCCAGCAGTCTGAAGTTGCATGTGAAAGATACTTGCAACAGGGTGTGATAGGAGCTGGGTGGGCTTTCATTAACACTGTAAAGGGTCATTTTAGTACATAATAGCTCATAAAAATAAAAAAGTTGCAAAGTGTCCCTTTAAACCAGTAAATGTTGGCTTTAGAGCCCTTAAAGATAGTTGAACCTTAGCAATTACTGAAGGTCTACCAAAGTCATCAGGGCTGTCTCTAGTAAAGACATCCATTCATGTGCTTTTCCAGGACCAGGATGGAAGCCCAGACCTCCTCCTTAGAGACTCTGTCCAGCTCCTTCTCAGGATCCATAAATGCCCCCAGAATACTGATGATTCATAATCCTTCCACAGAGTTCTGGGTCTGCCCTAGGTCTCTGCTCAGTGCTCAGAAAAGCTCCAAAAGAGCACATTCAGGAGACATCCTAATCAGATTCTTAAACCACCTCAGCAGACTCCTTTTGATGAGCAGGAGCAGCAGCTCCTCACCTCTGAGCTTAGCTTCTTCACCTGAACTAGGGCTGCACAATATATCACAAATATATCGTTATTGTGATATCAACATGCACAATATGCATTTCGCAAAGAACAGATAAATATAATGAATGCTCAGCTCAAATGTTTGCTACACATAATGCATTCTGTCAATCAAACGGAAGCAGGATGTTTTTAACAAATCTAATAGAGCTCTTCACCCATTTGGGCGGGTTCTCATAGGTTAGATGTCCGTCCCCGAGGCGGACAGCACTTAGTTTTGATGGTTAGCAAACACTCGAGTTAGCTTTGCTCTGCTCTTTCTGCTGATTCTGCTTTTCCTGGGATCCACTGATTGCCTTTTCTTGTTCATTTTTCCCTTTCCTCACATCTTTTGCTTTTCTCATTCTTATCAATTTTTGTCAGTTTTTATTTCTTTGTTTTTGATTATTTTTGTTCCTGAGTTGTTTTTATTTATCGCAAGTAATATCGTCATCGCAATATTAATCACTGTTATCGCATATCGCAGGTTTTCCTAATATAATTCAGCCCCAACCTGAACAGACCGATCAATCACTCCCGTTACTGGATCTATGGGATACTGGAACTCCTCCTGTAGAAGACTTACCGGTACATTTAACCTGGATGGAACACCCCACCAGGGATTGTCTTTGCCTAGATGGTTTTTTCTATTTCTTGTTTATTCTTTTTTTGTTATTTTGTGGGAGGTGGGTGACTCTGAATCAACATTTACCATTAAAATACACAAATACTTTAAACTCACCAAAAATTCCAAATTCCCACAACGTGTGTTCTAAAATGAGACCTTTTTTTTTTTTTACCAAAGCTTCTGGGAACAGAGTACCAGGTTTAAATTTAGATTTTGAGACACAAAACACAGAGTTTCTCAAATCATATTCAGTGATCGTTGCCAGTCTAAACGTCCGTGCAGTACTAAGAGAGAAGCAAACTGAAGAAACATTTACTGGTTTTGGCACGATAATGGGCATCCTGGCTACAAATTATTTAGGAACAGCAACACATCAACAGGTGTTGCAGCAGGATTTCAGCTCTTCACCTTTAATAATAAACACCTTAAAGAGCATCTCTGGTACCACCAGATATTTTAGGCTGTTGATTTAAAGTCAAAACTATAATTAAAAAACTGTAAAACATGCTTTTGATCGAGACATAGAATGATTCTAAAATTTTCCCACGGGTAGTATCACCTCCTACTTACAGTCTGTGATGTTTCTCCTCTGGTCCAGAAGGAACTCACCGGTTGGGAGAATCAGAAAAGCGGGGAATTGAGTTGTTTGCTGCAATTGTTCCACCAAAGTCTGCACACCACCCCTAAACTAGTAGGGCTTTTAGCCAGCTGGTTTTATTTTCTTGAATGCGTTTCTAATAGTGTTGTTGGGGAATCATGGAGGAAAGTTTCAGTTCTGCGTAACTCAGTCTGACCTGCTTCAGCTCTGGACAGTAATGAACCCTAACTGTCATCTTTATGGTCATCTTGCTAAACTCCTTCAACCTTTTCATTTTATGTCTTTAAACTTTCCACTGGACTTTTATGGCTTTTACTACAAGCAGCAGTAATCTTTCAGCTCCCTGTGACTCACCGCGACCTGCCAGGTCAGAAAAACTGGGAGGTTTGATGAAATCTGATGGTAAATGTAAAGAATTTTCCAACCTCAGCAGATCGCGGTCGCTGTTTCTGCTGCAAACCTCGTTTCATGTGCCTAAATGGGGACTTATAATGAGAGAACAGCTCTATTTTTTGCCCAGCTTTTCCTCCCTCAGACATCTGGCTCTAATAGAGGAGAGGAGCTACTGGCCTGGCCCGAAGCCGCGGTGCTCCAAAGAAAGAATGGTTGTGTTCTCAGCATGGGTCAGGAGCACAAAAACTCAGACACTTTCCTTGCAAATTAGTGCTCCTGCTGATTTTAATGCCACACTTACTCAGCAGTTGCAGCAGGAGCATCTGAGGCTCCATTTAAACTGCTTATTTAGCTCCTAAAATAAAAAATGAACAATGCACAAGGGACCTCTTAGCCTGCAAACAAGCCATCAGAGAAACCCCTTTCTCCTGTTTCACTTCACTTCAGAATCAGCCTCTGGAATTTATTATAGAAGAATGAAACTGAAGCAAGATGCCCAGGAGGGTCCCTGCTGCTCAGAGAGGACATGAGGGATGGCTTCGACCAACAAGAGCCTGTGACCACGTCCAAGGATTATCAAATACCTGCACAGAGCTCTCTCTCTCACACACACACACACACGCACGCGCACGCACACACACACGCACGCACACACACACACACACACACACACACACACACACACACACACACACACACACAACATCTCATTGGCAAAAACAAATGGCTCAATTTAGATTTGTCCATATTCTCTACGGAGCCAGCTCCTGTTCACTACCTGGTTCTCCCACCATAGCAGGGTATTTATATTAGATAGATATTCAGACCAGCAGCTAAATTTATGTTGTTTTTCCAACATTTGCAGTTAGACTCGACTTCACATTTGCTGTTTAGCCACAAAGAACACAGGATGTCGTCTAAAAATGATTGTTTTTCACTCAAAAAGGAGTGTTTTGTTAGCATTGCACCTACGCCCGCGTGTCTTTTAAATATAATATAACGAGCATTTAGAGCTGCTTTGGTATTTTGGTAAATCTACGAGTCTGAGTTCAATTCTTGAAGTTCAAATTTAAACTGACAGTAAATACTCAATTACTGACAGTAATTGAGTATTTAGCACAAAATACAATCAAATAAAAAATATCAGCTGAGATCATTGTGAGAGGCTTCTGTCCCCAAGCTTCTGCAATGAGTCAAGGATGTATTTTTTAATATAACTTTGTTTATATAAAAAATGTCAAACTGACTCTTTCGGATTGCTTAAAGTTTAATCTTTTTAGTGCTAATTTCTTATTTATTTAAAATCATCAGCACAGATGGACAAAGGTGCAATGTTTGGTTCAACCATATCAAAGACCTGACATGATTTTATTCTGCTTGAATCTGGGATGTTGATGGACTCTTGTTAGTTGCCTTTAAACGTTTGCAGACTATCATCATAACGCTTGTGGAACACAGGGGCACTGGAAAGATGCAGCAGGATGATCAGAGTTCAGGAAACGAGCCTCAGACCACTGAAGCTGCCTGTCACTATTTAGATCAGTGTTTCTTCCCTGGTGTTGACAGATTCATTATTTGCACATCTTTTTTCTTTTGTTTGCAGGTTTTGTTCTAATAGTTAGAGAAGACACAAATATTTAGCCTGACTGGGACTTTTTGGTTTTGTTCTATAAGGAAACATAAACCGCTTTTCACACACTAAATAATATTTGTCCCAAATGCAAACTAAACTTGACATGAAGATTACAGATCATTAGGTTGTTTTTAAAACTGTAAAATCATGAAATGAAGGAAATATAATAAAAAGCTTTTTTTTACTGTTTGACATAAAGATGAAAAGCAAAATAATTTTAAACTTGTTTAACTGAGAGGACTTGTACCTATGCAAGCCCTTGTGTTACGTTAACAAAGAACAAGTAATTATCACAGTGAACATAAACACACAGAGCCAGTCTGTTGGATGAATAACTTCATCACCATAGTTGACGTCTCCGTTTGTCTTGTTTCGCTACTGTGTGAGTGAAGCTGACCTTTGTGTCCCGTCAGCATCTTGCTGAAGTTTGTTTTAAAACGTTAAATATCTGTGGTGGGTTTCAGATGATCACTCTGATGAGAGTGACGTCTATTCTTAGTCACAGAGCGATTAAAATCACACGTTCATATTGAATGAAACAGCTAAAACATAGAATGAATTTCCATTTTGACCAAAACCACAGAAGTAGAGGGGCTAAAAGGCCCCATGTGGCCCCGGCGCCTCCAGAACCCTGGACTTGAATGTTGCTGCTGCCAAAACTAACGAGTTCTTTCTCAGACTCACATTTCTTTATTTCTCTATCTGGCCCAGGAGTTAGAGCTTGATCAGCCAGCAGAATAAACTCCTCCATTGTCCATCTCCACAGGGACATTAGAGCCACATTTGTCTGAGAGATCCTGGCCATGGCCTCCTGCAGCTTTCAGGTGTCTCTGTGTTTCCCCGACAGCATTCCAGCTGTCTCTCATTCTGCCCGATGGAGGAATGTGTGGGAGCGTTCTAGGAATGTGTTCTGAATTTGAGCTGTCCACTGATATTTGGAAAGATTCACTATGTGTGTGAAAAACAGCACTTCCTTTATACCTGTGATTTAGGGGGTGTGTGTGGTGGAGAGGTGGAATGTTAATGTGTTGTGTGTGTGTGTGTGTGTGTGTGTGTGTGTGCCAACACTGCTGTACCCACGCCACCTTCGGAAGACGGTATCCAAGGAAGATGAGAAGCTTGTTCCATCACACTCCACTTTCCTATTTATTTATTTATTTATTCATTCACAGAGTGCCTCCTCAGCATCACCATGGCAACAAATCCAAACTCTGTATTTCACATTTCTTCCTGAGACAAACCTTGTGTTCTGTTTTACTCTGTTTGCTTTATTTATTTTCCCAGACATGCGCACAAAATGAATGAATGAATGAATGAATGTGCGGCCAGTGAGGGAGGGTGGGACGGCTACCACAGCAGTGTGACCTAAAGTTCATCCTCTCTGATGTTTCTGTAATAAAAACAACACTGAAAACCCAGCTTGTCTCTCGCTGCTTGTTTCATGCATGAATATCAGCGACCATGACACGAAGTTTAGTCCTTCAAATTAGAGTTGGCAAAGTTTTATTAAAACAGGGGTGTGTGTGTGTGTGCGTGTGTGCGTGCGTGCGTGCGTGTTTGTGTGTGTGTGTGCACTCTTCTATACATCAACGTGAGGACCAATTGCAAGCTTTTTACCTGCAAACTGAGGACATTAGTAGCCATTGGCCCCTGAGCATCTTCACTTTATAAAATTTGTTTCTCTTTGCAAAAAGTTTGGACACCCCTGCTTTAAGGGACACTCAGAAAGATCTGAAGAGTCAAAGTTTCAACCCTTAAGTATATTATTGCGGGTTGTTTTTACTTTCAAGTGGTTTCTGCAATTTCTGGTTAGTGCACACAAGTGGACAAATATGGCCAGAGAATAAAGTCAAATATGACTTTCCCTTCTTTTGAGAGAGGAAATGTTTCATTAGTGGCTGCAGACCAGTCAGATGTAGATAACAGATAAATCTAGTCTAAAAATACTGAAAGACAACTTTTACTTTGTCGAGATGGAAAGTGTGGGCTGGACATACAGATTGAATAATGGATTACCAAGTGATTAACATAAAGAATGACATTTGGAGCTGAGAGCGAAATGAACATAATGAAGTCAGATTGCTCCTCTCACATCAGGCATTTGCATTCTGAAGGTTATTGCTGCCATAAAAATGTCACTTAGAGGAAGAATCCAGCACATTACAAGTGGTCTGATGGGAGACGGAGCAGCTGAAAAATAAAAAAAAATGAAAGATGTAGCCAAATGAACTGACTTGAAGCCTTTGTTTATGTCAGATTATGTCGTTAATTCACATACTAGGAGTGAGTTACTACAGTAGTTTCATTCTATTGGGCTACATAGGTTTTTGAAGCTCTCATTCACACATCACATATTTGCAGTGGTCTCTAGTTTAAATGAATAAATAGTTGGAATGGGGCTTGAACGACTCCTTGTGAGAAAAAACATGATTCTGTTATAATATCTACCGAAGTATCACTGTTTTATGTTTCTTGCCTCTTTACTTTATGCAAATATACACCCAATAGCCACCTTCTAAGGGACACCTGTCTAATTCTTGTTAACACAAATGTCTAATAAGCCACCCACAGCCAGCTCAGTGTATAGTGATTAAGTTCAAACTGAGAATCAGAGTGACGAAGATAAAAAGAACAGTCGTGTTTCCTTCCTGACATCAAAGGCATTGATTTATTCACCTGTTCTGGTGAAATCAAAGGTCTTCTGAGCAGACCAGTTGGTTACCACAGGTAATTTGGGCTTTGTCATCTCCTGGACACCTTGGCTATTTTAAAATTGTTTCTACAGACACTGTAAAAAAATCGCCAGGGCACTCAGTCAGTTAAAAACCAAATATTTTTAAAATTTGAATTTCTACATAGGAAAACAGGCCTAACAGTTCACAGGTATCTATAATAAACGCATGCAGCAGTGTAGAAATGCTCTCGTCACAGCCAAAACTACTCTGATTTCATCTCATTGTAGGAAGAAAATACCCATTAACACCTTCTCAAGACCACCTGAAGCTCCTCCCCGTCTGTACTCAGCTTCTCAGTTTAATCATTTAATTTATCTTAATAACCTAGGTAGATAATATTCACCAGCAGATTCTATCTTTTGCTGACATTAACATACTCATACTCCCTTCCCATTCCTCTCTGATCTTGTATTCCCTGTGCTTCAACTCCCAACTGTCAATGAAATTTCCAGTCTGCTGAAAACCCAAATCATCACCTTGCAAGTTCCACCCGCAAAATTCAAACTCTGTATTTCACAGAGTCTGAATTTTGTGTGTGCGTGTGTTGCACGCGCACGCGCACACGCACACACACACGCACACACACACACACACACACACACACACACACACACACACACACACACACACACACACACACACACAATTAATGTAAATAAATTAGTTTAGCTGATAAGAAACATCTGTGTCCATTACTTTGTATTTGTTTCAGCCATTTTTTCACCTGAGAGTGAAAAGTTTTAACATTTGTTAGCAGTTTTATTGCTGAAGGTAGATGCCAAATCTGAGGTCCTCTAAATGAGAATGAGGATTGACTAAATGATGTTTGTATTTTGGTGGTATGCACTCTCCGTTGGCTGCTCCTCTGGTTGTAGCTCCTCTGCTGCTGGCTTTTACGATCAGTCTGCTCAACAGCTCTGGGACAAGGCAGTTTAAACATTTGAACGTCAGTTTTACAACAGAGAAGTTTATAAAGTTATCGACATTTAGGAGATTGTGTTTCTGTATTTTGTAATGGTGCCACTCTATTTGTTTTTAGTCCTATCCCTTTCTGAATATGTCTATTGCTTTATGACCACAGTGGACCCATCTTCTGATGGTGACCTCCATAGGATAATGCACCATGTCACAAAGCTCAGATGATCTCAAACTGGCTTTTAGTGCATGATGATGAGCTCATTTTTCTCCAACAACCTCCACAGTCAGCAGATTTCACTCCAGTTCAGAACCTTTGGGATGTAGTGGAGCAGGAGATTCACATCATAGATGTACAGCCAACAAATCAGTGGCGACTGTAATGCTGCAACGTCAACATAGACCAGATCCTCTTAGGAATGTTTTCAATACCTTGATGAGTGTATGACATCAAAAATGGATCTAGTTCTGAAGGCAGAAGGGTTCCAACCTGGTGCTACCTAGGGCTACCTAATAAAGTGGCCACTGTAAAATGTCTAGTCTACTTTACTAATGCCATGCTACAAAGATCTACTTACCCGTTCATTTTAAAACAGAGAGCGGGTTCAGAGTATTTAATGAGATCATTTTAGATGTTATCCTTGAGTAAAGTAGAATGGAAAAACGCCGCTCATCTGGGTTGAGGTGCTGGATCAAAAGAAGAAAAACAGAATCCGCACACTTCAAGCGTTCACTCCCAGTTCCTGATGAAGGTCTTGGGACCGAAAGCTTGAAGATATTATCCCTGAAAAAGTTATTTTTCAAGTTTTCATTACTTTGGTCCGAGTATGTTGTTGTGTATCCTACTCCCTCCTCTCAGCTGTTTCTTGTAATTGCATTATGAAGGCTAAAAGACATGAACGCTTTTTATGTTGTAGACCCTCTGAACTTAGCTTGAAAGGGAATTTTTAGACAGCTTTATGACTCAATAAAGAATGTTTATGGACAGATTGTGTGTTTTCCTCTGGTAAACAACACACACACTGCTCTCCATGTTTTCCACAGCTTTTATTAAGCCTCTTCAGCACTTCAGCCTCTTCTCCAGTTGTGCTTAATGTTTGAAACTAGTTCTCCGAATAAAAACGCCCCCTCCCAGTAAACACAACCATTAGTAACCTTTGACACTAATAATTATGCAATTATTTAGTTGTGCTACGTGCTTTTACATCTATGTTTCTTATTAATAAAATGTCAGTGAAAATTCAGCTGAAAGCCTGCAGTTATAATGGGTCATCAGAGCGTTTTAAACACCCATCATGCTGCCACAATAATAAACCTCCATGACTAAAATCTCAGAGCATCGAGTGCCTCAGCACTTGAATATTTACTGTAGCTGCTTTGAATATTGACCTCAAGTACATAAAAATTGTTTTACAACTGTGTTCTAAAGTAATGTTTAGAGCTGTGTGTGTGTGTGTGTGTGTGTGTGGGGGGGGGGGGGGGGTACATACATTTTTGTTTTAGGACTAGAAGAGCTGTCGTGTGGAATGTGTTGCAGACTTGAGGATTATAAGGAGTTGATGAGATCCTCTGAACCATTTTTCTCTTTCTGCCTCTGTTTTGTTTGTGTCCATCTGCATGCACTTGTCTGAACACCTGGGGCTTGGCTGATGGACCCACAGGCCTCTGGAGAAATCTGTTTCCAATTATGTTGTGCATGAAGCGTCTATTGTTTTCTGCAGCACCCCAAGGAGGTGGGGGGGGGAGGCCTCTACTGCCGCCAGACCTCCCAGACTCCCCTTCCAGCTGACAGTGTCACATTAATAGCCTCGAGAGTGGTTGGCTCAATCATGGTGACAGAAGAGGTAGTGAGGAAGGGAATGAGTGTGTGTGTGTGTGTGTGTGTGTGGGGGGGGGGTTACTGCTGCTCAGGTTCTGTATTGACCTGCAGATTTGTACCTTCAACACTTTTTTGAACAAAGCTAGTACGCCTACGTCAGACTTGTTAAAAATAAACCGTCTAGACTCTGACAGAGGTCTGTTGTGAGACATGGAATGAACTCAGATCTCAAGGGACTATTTTTTTTATAAACATTATGATCCAGAAGTGCCTGGGGGCATGTCTGCTCAGCTGTTGTTGCAGGAAGTTGCTCTCAACTCATCTGAAACCAAATGAACTCACAGGAACGTTTCTTCACTGTGAACGATGAGAACCGAGTTCTCGTAGGAAACCCTTCACACTTTTTCATCAGCAGGACTTTGAGTTTCACTGTTTCCTTCAGTATAAATAATGAAAAATGACCTTTTCTGTTTTCAGTTATCTTTCATTTGTTTATTGGTCTTTTTGTTTTTATTGATCTTTGTGAATTTTCTTTGGTGATAAGTCGTGTATAAATAAACTTAACTTACTTGCTTCTTATTAAAATGCTGCAAAAATGCTTTAGCTTGGAAAATAAGAAAATATATTTTTTTAAATTGCAAGTCTACACATATATATTTCATATAATATGGCATGTTGTTATGCTGATATTTGCATTGTGACAGTGCTGGCAGTAGATCATTCTGACCTAGAAGAGCATCTTAGAGAAGTGGTGATGCTCCAGCACATCTAAACATAATCGATTCATCGTATCTCATGTAATTAATAACAGCACAATGCATGCCTGGCACTGCCAAATAAACAAGGGTTCCTCCTTTTTTGATGTGATGTTGTTATTCAACACAAACCTTGTGAGAAAAAAAAAAACTTTAAAGCATCTGAATCTCCTAGCTGGGAGAAAAATCCATCAGCATGAATTATGTATGTGTACCTCTTCAGCTTTGATCACACAAGAGGTGAGAAAATCTATCTGACAATGTGAAAAAGTTGTGGATTTTTTTTTGTTTTGTTTTATCTTTAAAAAAAATATTTATATAATCAATCAGATACATGAGCCAGGACCTTGAACCCCCCCCCCCCCCCCCCCCCCATCATTCTGATCCTCTGTCTCTTCTGGTCACCAACACATGCTTTAATGAAGTCCAACGTGTCCTAAAGATGCTGTTGAAGCTACTTTCCTTGGTTGAGGGAACACACAACTTACTGTTCTTGCACCAGTCTGCGCTTGTTTATAAGCCAGTTGTCACCTGACACTTAAAGCACCCAACACCAGAAAAAACTGGGACCAGAAACTAATTTGCTGAAGAAAATGAATAAGGTAGATTCAAAACAAGAGTTCAAACAACTGATCAAAAACCAATTCAAAGGCAATTCAATGCAAACCATTCATGAAAAACAACTATGAGCACACAACTTCTTACTAAAGCCTAATTTATACTTCTCTGTCAGCTCCACGATGGAGATGACTTGCCCTCGGACTTCTAGGTCTCCTGGTGAGTGGTGCAAAGAAATTCCCCGCCAGGACAACAGAGGATGTAGCGCCGTTCTGTGGTATCCTGTCATGTATCCGGTTCAAGATAGTGTTTATAATTGTTTTTTTTTTTTTTGTATTAAGACTTAACACACACAAATTTGTCCCTCATCCTCCTCCACCTCTTCATGTGCTTGCCACCTCTAAACGACGTTTCTTATTTCCGTTCACAAATAAAATACTTGCTGTGCATCTTTTTACTCCTCCAGTCACGGGGGAATAAGACGACATTCTTCTAGCTGCTCCGTGTCTGCCACTAGGTATCCTCGGCTGTCTATGTTTTTGAGGGCGCAATGGCGGCGCTGGGAAGATCCCGCCGGCTGATTCTATCAGCCAATCAGAGGCCCCCTAAAAGTAGATGTGAATTTGAACTGGCCAATCAGCTGGCAGTTGGACCAGTTCAGCTCGAAGCAGACCACCTTGGAAAGAGGGCTGAAAAGATGACCGGTTGCACACAAAACAAAATCCAGGCTATGCAAATGTGAACACCTCCTACCGTATCTGGGCAGAGTAGAGCGGGTGCTGGTGTGGAAGCCCTATAACAGAAAAAACAGACTCTATATCTGCAACCTTTTTCAGGCAAACAGGGAAAAGATGGCTAATTTCTATTAGGACTCCTGACCACTTCAAGTTTCCAGCTGTAGTAGAGCTAAAGGTCAGGTGTGTTTCTCTCTCAGGGTGGCCACATCCACTGCAAAACCCTCTACCAAAAAGTAAATAAATAATAAAACTACTACCAAAGTGACATGCCTTTTACGCTGTTTATTCAACTGTGTTCACAGCAGATTTTGGATTATTTAAGCCACAAAATCAAAGTTTATTTCACTTTTCTGTCATCTCAGATGATCTCCCAAATTCCACATGTGGCAGTAAAAAAACTGCTTCATAAACAATGAAACTGAAAAGAAAAAACATATAGATTTGAGTATAAAAGTGCAGTAGAAACGAACTTGCATTGACGGTATGACACAGAAAACCCACGTCAACCACGTTAAGAGGCACAAACAGAAGTTAAGGAGAACCTTTAGCTGTGTTCCCATGAAGACAACAGGTAAGCCTGTTAGGATGAGGTGTTTAACTGACCCAGCGTTAGAGCTGGGATCATTCTAGCCAGAGTCAGGACTGATTTCAACCTGTGGCTAATAAATAATCTCCAATGGAGCTGGTTTGGAAAATGTGACTTATGACAAACACAAATCTGGCTTTTAATTAAGTTGTGTTATTTAACTACACGTTTGTTTATGCTAGCTGAATCTACGCGCGTGTGTAAACAGGATGCTAGCATCAAACGAGTCATCCTCCCCCATGTAAACCTCAACACCAGACAAGCAAACAGAATAAATATAAACAAGAGGGTTGTTTAAGTATAATCTGAAGTACTCCATGATTGCCCGTAAAAGATCAAAATAGGTTGTCCACCAGCCAGCAAACAACTGCTGCAGACATCATCGTGATGCTCAAGTACCTCGCTCCAGTTATTATCTCTGGCTTACTGAATCACTTTGGGTTCTTGGTGTGAACAAATAACTTTAACCCTCAAATGTGATGTTAAAGTCAGTTGTAGAAAAGTTGATCCAAAATACAGAATTTTGCTTCTGAAATCTGGCTGTAAACATCTGAATACATCAATGGTTTGCCTTTCATTTCATTTTTAGCCTCCCAGAAAAACATGGAGGATAGTGTTCATTGCCAAGCTTAACCGAAAACCAATAAGGCCAATTTATTTGAACCCTGATCTGTTTTGTATGATTTAGGGTGAAAATATAAGATAACAGAAACAAAACAGAAACATCCCGATAACAAAAACACAAACTGATCACAGTCATCAAGTGTTGTAGGAATGATCTGAAACAAAACAAGGATTTTTGTCCTTCGCTCCTCTTCAGGCTCCACCCACTGACTCTGATGCTAAGCTACACAAAGCAGAAAGGCAGGTAGCAAATTCTAAAACACAGTTAGCGGTAAGTTCCCTAAAAAGAGTCCCAAAAAGTATAAAATGTAGTTTCAGGAGAAGATCTACAGCTAATGCTTGGCTGGTAAATAGCACCGCCTTCATGTTTATGTTTTCCTGTTTCTCTTCATAAAACCAGAGTAAATTATCCAGATGCTTTAGTACAAATGATGCAGATCAGAACAGCTACTGAGAACAGTCTTGTTTGAAGAATGTAATGCCTTCAGGGTGTAGGAAAGAGTCTGCTGGTCAGCGAGAGGAAGCACTCAAGGTCCCAGGTTAGGAGAACTCAAACTCCAGGATGCCCGGAGTCACTGCAGCGACGCTCTCAAAGGCCTCTTCAGTCACCCACGTCACTGTCCTGGTCTCCGATGAGCCACAGGAAGTGGAAGCTGATCGCCAGCAGGCCAGTGCCTAACAGATCACCCAGAGCAGTCAGGTACGGGATGGAGAAACTGTCCGGATCTTTGCCGCTTCGCCACATGGAATGAACCATCCAGTCTGCAATACACAGCAGCAGCAAAACCTGGAAGAAAAGGACACAGAACGTTCCAATTTAAACATGTTAAAGAGAGCCTGCTGGACGGGAGTTTTATGATTGGTCTTGGTCTCGTCTTGGTATGGAGGGCATTTTTACTGTATTGTCTTGGTCTTGGCAGACTTGTTTGTTTTTGAATGACACCTGTCAAGACCATTGCTGATAGGCTTTTTGTCCACACCTCACAGATAACCCTCTCAAAACAAGAAAACAACCTTTACGGGGTTATTGTTGAGCTCAGACTTTTAGGGGTGTTTTGTTACCACATGATGTTCAGGCTTGGTGCTGTGACATCACCTTTAGTTGAACTGTTCCTGATTAAGGTTGTAACATTATGAAGGGAAGACCGATGTTCAAGAATGTTAACAAAAACAGGTTACTGAAATGTCAGCATTTTCACACAGCTCATTAAACTGACCCTCCTCTTTTGCTCTGAAATGAAAAGTTTATTGTGACTCGCAGGTCAGTTCGGTTCTGATAATATGAACTTTTTCAAGAAGTGAAACACGACACATTTGCTACCATCTGAGATTTGCTTAATTCATTATGCTGCTTTAAAACAACCAAGCAAACACCATTATTGTTGTCACATTTATGACACTTACACTCTAGCATCAGCTCTACTCAGCCTGGAATGGAATTGGAGTGTTCTCAGCTTGAAATCTGGATTTGCATGTAACGAGTCCATGTCGTACACTAGTTTCTCCTTTAAAGTTGAATTACTGAAAATAGATGATTGGTACCAACACTGTCAGATTCAGATGGATAGAAAACAGAACTCCGTTCACACAGAAGCTCTTTATATAGCAGAACCCTGAACCTGCATCCAGCAATAACAGAAAATAAAAGCACAGTCCTTACAATCCATAGAAGGAATCATTTGCTTTTTTTTATCCCAGCTGTTATTTTAAAGAGTGAGCCTGATTTATTCTTCTAGAACACCAGGAAGTTAAAAATAGGTCAAACAATAACTAAGAAGCTTTTTATTCTAAGAATATATTTTAGTAAAAGCTCCATCAGCAGGTTTACCATGCTTCCTGTTTCCAAAAGGGAGAAGATGATTCTGGTATCAGAGCCTGGGGGTTAAACCCTGAGAAACTTCACTTTCTACTGGTCTTTCGTGGTTCCAAATTGCAGTTATTTTGACAAATATGTGTGGTTTTATGTTTCTTTCATGTTTCTGAAATCAATCAAATTTGCATCAAAGAAATATGAAAAAAGGAAATGGTGATGGGTCATTTGTAAATAAGGCAAAAAAAATTCTATTAGAGAAACAGAGAAATTATTTTAATGAAAACTTAAAAACATTGGGACAAAAATATAAATAATTATCTGTTTACACTCTACATGTAAAATGGCAATTATCAAAGATGGCAATGCTGAACATCTGTAAAATAAGATGATAAACAATTGATCTCAATGTGACTAAAGATTAATAACAGAGGAGAACAGGCTTTTTTTTGTGAGTCAGGCTCAGAAAATACCTGTGAAAGTTGTTTATAATGTTAGCAGGAATGAGCAGTCTAGAGATAGCAGTGGAGACCACAACAAAAACATCAGATGATGATAGACGCATCATGGGATACAGAGAAAACTGGATTATTTCATTGTGTGTTAATCCTGCTGCTGCTTACATTCTCACTCAGAAGTTATTGTCTTAAATAATGTTTTTGTTTTAATATTATCCTTTACTGTTTTTACTGTATGATTATGGATTTATTTAACTCCTTATTTTTATGCTTTCTCACTGCTATGAATTCTGTAGTGTTGTGAAGCACACTGAATTGCTTTACATGAAATTGGCTAAACTTTTTAATCACAAATTTTTATTTTCATGGTACTTTTTAAATCCTCTTTTTAATCTTAAAATTTTTGTTTTTGTGAGGCTTGTGATTTTTATCTTGAGGGGTGCCATATAAAAGATTGTTTCTTCGTCTTCTGTAAAAATAAAGTTTGATTGATTGTTTGATTTTATTTACAATCACTTTCTTTAGTTCCTGCTTCGTTTAAACAGTTGTTACTAAAAATGTACCTGGATTCATTCCATTTCCAAAACACTAGGGTGCATCCCTTCACCCAGACCCCAGAGACAAGCCCCGCCAGACCACCTCCACCTGCACCACCCACACCTCCTTGGTGAATCAGAGCTGTGTGGGCGCGCACTTCATATTCCACACCTTAAGTGGCAACAGAACAGAGGATAATAATGTCTGACCTAAGAAAGTTGTTAAAGATCTTTTTGTTGAGCATTTCACTTCTGAACAGAGCTAAGTGATTCAAGGACCAGAAAACCCAACAGGCAGAGACGATAAACAGAAACTCTTAAAACAGCAGCAGTGAATAAATAATGGTAGGCGAGTTTCTGAGGAAAACACTTTAGAAATGTGCTTTTAATGCATCTATGAGTGTTCCTGCCATTATAATTGTAATGTGATGAAGGAGCTACTCCTCCAAGGTAATTAACCTTTATCCACAGTCCCCTTTGACACAGCGCCAGAGTGCATGAAACAGCCTCAAGGTCATGCATTCGCTTCTAAACTGTTTCATGGTCAAACTTCTTCTGCTTAAGTCTTGTTTCCTTGAGTCTCAAACAGTTTTCTGACAGCTTAGAAGTTTTTAAATTGTGATCCCTTTCAGTCGATTCACTCGGTACAGTGAAGGTACTATGGGACATCACGCCCTCGTGTGGCCTGGCTGAAGACACATCTAATCACACCTGTAAGGCAAATGAAATTGACGTTGCGTGGAGGCCCTGCTCTCCACTTATAAGTGACCACGTCACCTCAGTTCTTACGCTCTTCATCTTGCTGAGAACACACCTAAAAACTAGCTGTGCTATTGAAGGATAGCTTAACCGCTTGCTGACTGGACTCCGCCCACCGAGCCAATCGAGCGCTATTTTTCGTAGCCCTTCAGCTTCTCTGCTTTCATTCAGTCAGGTGTACCACTCCACTTTGTGTCTCGCAATGAGCACCATGTTGGACGTCGCTTCACGGAAAGCCGCTTTGCACCCCTGTCCTCAGGGCTGGGAATTTTCTTTTCATGAGAAGGACCTACATGAAGCGTGCCCAGTTTGTCTGGGAATTCTCCACGCCAGGAGAGCTCTTGTGGACCTGGAAGTGTGCAACTTCTGTCGCCAACTCCGCCGTCCCACGCTTAAATGGCGTGTGAAGTTCATACAACGTCTCCTGGGAGATGCTGCAATTTCACAGCAGGACCCCATGCTTTCCCATTCGGCTCCGGCTTTGCCCGGCTCTGACATGGACAGCCTAGTGATCGAGGTCCCCGCTACTAGCTGGGCAGATCAGATGGAGATGATGGACAATTTAACCAGACCAGACCTAGAGGATTCTCAGTTTCCTCCTCTGTAAGAGGATGAAGGAGACATTTTGGACATTTGCCCCGATGACCTCTTATGATGAATTATACAAATGGAAACCGTGTTCCCTCGCCCGGACGTGGGTCACCGGGGCCCCCCTCTGGAGCCAGGCCTGGAGGTGGGGCATGTTGGCGAGTGCTTGGTAGCCGGGCTTTCACCCATGGAGCCCGGCTGGGCACAGCCCAAAGAGGAAACGTGGGTCCCCCTTCCCATGGGCTCACCACTCGTGGGAGGGGCCAAAGGGGTCGGGTGCAGTGTGTGACGGGTGGTAGTCGAGGGCGGGTACCTGGGCGGTCTGATCCTCGGCTACAGAAGCTTGCTCTTGGCACATGGAATGTCACCTCTCTGGTGGGGAAGGAGCCCGAGTTGTTGTGTGAGGTTGAGAGGTTCCAACTAGATATAGTCTGACTCACCTCAACGCATGGCTCTGGCTCTGGAACCAGTTTCCTTGAGAGGGGATGGACTTTCTACCACTCTGGAGTTGCTCCAACTGAGAGGCGCTGAGCAGGGGTGGGCATACTAGTCTAAGGAGCTTTGAAAGAAAAGCGTCTGGACTTCTTTGAGTTGAATGAAGACGTTTCACCTCTCATCCGAGAGGCTTCTTCAGTTCTAAGGTCAAATGGTGGAGAGTCCAAGATTCAAACCCAGTGGGACCTCTTTCAAATCAATGGTTTGAAAGAGGAGTAAAGGAAGCCATTTATGTCCACTGTGAGCAACCATCTTTGAACAGAGGCGGTGGTTTATGACACCAACTGTCTGCCATCTATAATCCAGTTTTGAGATCCCTTCCCAGATGCCTCAACGCCCACGCATATCCTGGGCCATCTGACCTCAGGAATTCACATGATAGGGTGGGGCCAGGCTTCACAATGAGCTCACCGGAAACTCTGGCTGAATAGGACCCACACCGACCCTCACACCTGGGCTCATGTGTTTATGTAGAAGATCATCAGGGGGTCTTTTGTTCCCTCTTCGGGGGGAAACTCCCACTGGGTTTGAATCTGGGACTCTCCACCATTTGACCTTAGAACTGAAGAAACCTCTCGGATGAGAGGTGAAACGTCTTCAAGCAACTCAAGAAGTCCAGACGCTTTTCTTTCAAAGCTCCTTAGACTACAATGACCTGGATGACTGAGAACCTTCACAGACACGGTGGGCATACTAGTTGCCCCCCATCTTGGTGCCTGTACGTTGGGGTTTACCCCAGTGAATGAGAGGGTAGCCTCCCTCCACCTATGTCTGGGGGGACGGGTTCTGACTGTGGTCTGTGCTCATGCACCAAACTATAATTCAGACTACCCACCCTTTTTGGAGACCTTGGAGGGGGTGCTGGAAAGCGCTCCTTCCGGTGACTCCCTCGTTCTGCTGGGGGACTTTAACGCTCACGTGGGCAATGACAGTGAGACCTGGAGAGGTGTGGTTGGGAGGAACGGCCCCCCGATATGAATTCGAGTGGTGTTTTGTTATTGGACTTCTGTGCCAGTCATGGATTGTCCATAATGAACACCATGTTCAGACAAAAAGGTGTCCATATGTGCTCTTGGCACCAGGATACCTTAGGCCGCAACTTGATGATCAAATTTGTTGTTGTTTCGTCTGACCTGCGGCC